ATATTATAACATTATAAGATAGTGTTTTTACAAACTGTGTTCGCTGACTGTTTACTATAAAAAGAATACTGATAATAATTATTCTGGTAAGATTGTGTACAAGATCTTAACGTTGAATTAATTACAAATATACCATGTCTATTTTAATTTTTAAGAGATGAAAGTAATATTTTCGTAAATAGATCACCTGACATCTGATAAAAGCTGGTTTACTGTAGATCTAATTATTTAAATGACTGTAGATATATTGCTTATATTTTCTTAAAGATTGAAATAAATATAATATAATATTAGTAGCTATAGTAACATTAAAATTCCCTTTATGCAGCAATTACTTTCTTACCAGAATAATTATTACCATCAGCATTTAACCTTTTAGGTTGACTAAATAGTCAGTAAACACAGTAATTTGTAAAAACTCTATCTTAAAACATTATAATTGTATAACTTTTCCAGCAGATATGTGTTGCGTAGACATAAAAATGTATTATTTCTAATCCAAATGTAAAGATCGTAAATGTAAAGATGTAAAGATAGAAGAAAATAAAAGAGATTCGTTAATGACAAATAATGAAAAATATAATTAAACAATAATGACATTAATGAGAAAAAATAATGACATTAATGAGAAATATAATTAAACATATATGACATATAAACTTTATATACTTTTGTAATATAAACAACTATAACAATAATACACAATATAAATATAAACTAAATAATTATACAACAAAAAAAACACTAACTACAATGTATCTTATTACATATACATAAAAATCTGCTGCATCTCTTTACAATAACTCTTTCAAATTAACACAGAAATGTAATTTCTCAATATAACTTCGTTAAAAGATTAAAATTTGGAAATCATGAAGATACGTTTGATACTAAAAACGTGATGAATAAATTAATACAATTTTTTATACGTCACGAGAGATTAAAATATCTGTTACATATACAGTATGTAACGTGAAAACGCAATATTGAAAATCTATTATATCTATTTATCTATTTATATATAGTTTAGTTTTGCGTTTTTTGTGTACTATGCTGTTTGCAAATTAATAATTGTACCCTATCATAAGTAAAAATATCACAATGTTGTGACATATGTGAGACTGGCGTCCCATTGCGGAAATATTCAGCGGAACAGAACGCGCGGAGCTAACGCGACGAAGCTAATCAAAGCCATAAGAAAACGCCGAAAAAACGGAATGGCTATGATTGATTGCGTTGACTCCGCACTTTCCGCTGAGTATTTCCGCTGTATGGGACATCGGCCTGAGGATTTACTTACGAAAAAATACAACACAATTACTCATTTTTAACAGCTTAGCACATGAAAAAGAACAGAATTATATAAATATTAATTATGATTATAAAATATATTTTCTCTCTCTCTCTCTTTCTTTATCTCTCTCTCTCTCTCTCTCACTATTAAGGTGGAAGCATAAAATTGCAGGAACACATAATCATAAGCATAAGAAAACTGATTGGTTTATTTTCTTATGCATATATTTGTGGACCAATCAATTTCCTTATGCTTATAGTTATGCGACTATGCAATTTTATGTGCTTTCACCTTAAAGCAGGGACCTTTTGCATAAACGCATAATTATAAACATAAGAAAATTGATTGGTTCATTTTTTTATACATGTACTTATGGACCAATCATAGTTGAATGTAAGAAAAATAATTAACTGATTAATTGATTGATTAAGCGTCATCTACAATGACATTTTAAGGAGGCTTAAGGCGTAAGACTTAAGAAATTGACCAATCATGCACAGTCAAGTATTAAGAGAATACTCGACTGTGATTGGTCAATTTCTCAACGATTGAGTTAATCGGAGTTTGGTCGAAGCGGTTCTAAAGCGTCGTCTACAATGGCCGTAGCATAAGGTTGTAAGGCCGTAGTCGTAAGAAATTGACCAATCCCAGTTGAAATTCAGGAGAATAATCAACTGTGATTGGTCAATTTCTTACGATTACGGTCTTACAACCTTATGCTACGGCCATTGTAGACGACGCTTTAGGCCCGCTTCGACCAAACTCCGATTAACTCAATCGTTGATTAAAGGATTGCCAACATGACAAAATAATTCAGTGTGACCAATTATATTTCTAACAATACACAGAGAGAAGCCAATATAATTGTAGAAATACAGTATATCTATGTTAATATGTCTATGCTTACTATTCAATCATGATTGGTCGATTTCCTTATTGTTCAAGTCTCACTGCTTATATTCAGGTGAAATACCAATAATAGATAAAGCATTGTTACAAACCTGAACTATGTACACGAACTACGTGTGAAAATTGATCCGCTTCATAGGTATTCAGCAGAAAAAAGCTGTTTTGCAATCATCATAAAATTCGTGAATCTGATTGGCGTATGTTCTTGAATTCAGCCAAAATTAAGAGCATGCACCAATATATTGGTATATATATATATATCGCCATATAATTCGCAATTTTTACAACAATTGCAAAGGAGCTTTTTCTGTTCCATGTTTGTAATGATGTTTTATTAATGGTATTACACATTATATATGTCATATATTTTATGACAGAGTCAATATATACGCAAAGTTAGGATATTTATTGTGCTTGCAGTAGAAAATGTAGAAAAACGTTCTGTTATTTTGTATATGTTTCACAATATGTATAGTGATTTATACATATAATACTACAATATATTGATCCGTCGTTACGCGATGTGGAGCGAACGTGTCCAGACATGTCCGAATGCGTCTACACATGTCCAGATGCGTTTTCCTATGTGTCTCTTATTAAAATTATATTTTTAATTTTCTATCAAGTCTTATTTCTTCAATCTGTTTTTGCAACTCAAATACAGTTGATGGCTATATGCTTACTGTCGATAAATAATTTTAATAATCACCGTCGATAAATATTTTGAATAATCACTGTACTTTTTCGCCAATCTTACATATGAAAGCATTTTTCTATATTATCTACTGCGCATATGATAATCCATATGCACATATCCTACCTGTATAATCTCATGTATTTTATTTATCTTATCATTTCATCTCATTATTTTTGTTATATTAAACATATATATGTTACATTTCTAAATTTTCAATCTTTATGAAGGACATTGATTGAGAATTCTTTCAGTGAAAGTGCTTGAGTATTTTAACAATGTGGAGCAAATTCTTGGCTATATGTAATAAGACATATTAGGTGCTTTCCATTTACAATCAAAACTCAGATAAATCTCACTTCTGTCTTTCTTCAACATTCATGTTAAAGAAAGACAGAAGTGAGATTTATCTGAGTTTTGATGTAAATGGAAAACACCTATTATGATCACAGAAGTGAGTATTTTTGTTATATTTTCATAATTTATGATAAGTACGCATACACAACATAAATTTAAAAAACTAATTAATTAAAACATTTTAATAAGTAATTTATTAATCATTCTTTTTTATTTACAGTAAGATTTTTACATAATAATTAATGCATTTTTGTGTCTGCATTACTCAAATCAGTGCTAAGATAACTGTGTAACTACAGCATAATATTGTATAATGTTATCTTAAAAATTGTGTTCTCTTACTTATTCAATAAAAAAAGCGTGATTTGTAATAATGACAATTACATATTGTATTGTCTTAGTGTCATGCTGTCTGTTAATACATCATATTTATTTTACTGTTTGCAGGGGATGGTAATGGATACTAATTTGCAAACCGTCCAAAACATTCACCCGAAAGCTTGCATCTAATGTCAAGAAGGAATCCATTACAAAACATGAGAATCTTTAGAGCGAGAGTTCAATATTATAGTCTCCGCTAATAGACTCTTGTGATCTGTAATGGAATAATCAACGCTCATTCATTAACTTACAGTGATGGTGAAAGCAATAACAATTTTATATTATAGATGTGTTTCAATTAGGAATATTTATACTGCTATTCAGTTTTTTACATCAAGGAAGACAATACTTTAGGATGTCATATTTAAGTGCAGAATATTGTATTATACATATATATGTATTATATGTATATATTAACTGTGCTGCTTGAGAAGAAAAATTTTATATTTTGTTCTTAACTGAAGTATCAACTTGATAATTTCGTTGGACTGTATATATGAAAATACACTATTTTTGGTTGAAATAACTATGCATCAATATAAAAATTATATTTATATTAATTATATTTATGTAATTACACTTGACGACTTACATTTATACACTGTCTTACATAATGCATATATATATATATACATATATTCAAATATAATGTTAGAACATATTTATAAATTTGTATTTGTACGTCGATGTTTTTCCTATGCTCTCATATAATGCATATACATATATTGAAATATGGTAAAAAAATAGGTACCCGCTAAACATGTAACTTTCTGGTAACGTCACATTTCGACTGTAATTAAGCAAATTTGAAACGTTTACATGTAACGGTAATAAAAGGTTCCGTAAACGTCTGAAATTAACGTTTTATTAGTGTCAGTTCGTAGAACGTACCAGAAACGTTGCTTTTCCGCATTTAATTTGTCAATTCGGAACGTCACAAATGAAATATTTTGTAAAGTTCAAGTAACATTTCATATGAAACGTTTTCTTTGCGACTTTATAAACGTTGCTTCAATGCTAGCATTTACTATGTTTCTAAAACATTCATTTCGCTACGTACTTTAAACGTTTCATTCAAAACGTAAACTTTGAAAAACATTTCATTTCGCATTAACGTTATAAATGCGACATTATTAAAAGATTTAATTTTGCAGCCTCGTAAAGTCAACTCGCAATTTATCGTTGATAAATGGTCATAACTTTTTAACAAATTGCAATTTTGCAACAAATAAGTCTCTAAATATTACTCCTATTATTATAATTGTTTGATTGCGACCACTGGCGGCCTCCGCGTATCAGAAAGTAAAGGACATACTGATGAACGCGGCAAATGTCGCGCGCTACAAGCGGTTGCCACTCACCGTTTTGCTTTCTTGTTTCGCGCGTTATGATTGGTCGCTTGAGTTGCGACAAGGCGCGTGTATCGAGCAGTCGGGGGGACTTACTGCGTAGTGTGCAAACGTGTTGTGTTACAATCTTCTCGTATAATTAATTGTGTGCCGGTTGGTTTGTGCATTAATAAAGTTTTCAAGTATATAATAGCGTTTTCGACGTGATCGAATTCAAAACCTGGCTAACCTGGGTTGGATTCGGTCGTCAAAAACGCAATAATTCTGACATTATATTGTCCTCCCGCAAGGACGCTTCCTGCATAATTAACGCCCGGATAAGCGTATATTTCTTACAAAAAAGATCTATGACATCGCACACTCAGACTCCTGTTGCTGAGGGGAATCAGCATCAGCTACATAAGGTAAGTAACAAACTTATTTATAACCTATACTAACCTAAAAAATAATTAATATTTAACGTTTTAGAAAACTTATTGTTCCAAGTGCACACTCGCGCGAGCGAATTAGTAGAAAAAAATATGGGAAAAATAAATAAATGTTTTGTGTCCAAAAGACATATGCGTCGAATAGTCAGAAAAGAATTATTAGAAACTTTGTTGGTAAATCACAAATTAATTAAAATAAATGATAAATCACAAACTAAAACTGCATTCCAGTCAGCAATGCAAAAAGGAAATAAAAATGAAATAAATATTGAACAATTTGCACATACCGAAAATCAGTGTACTGCAGCATTTCCAACAGAAATAGATGAGGAAGAATCTATAAGATATATTGAAACGCTCGTCGATGATGATTTTCAATTACATAAATGTAACATAGGATTTGACGATAAAGTTTCATCTGTGACTGAAGAGTTTGCACTTGATGCCACTAAACAATGGGTTCTGAAATATAGACATTTATTAAGCCAACGGGCCATTAACGATATGTTGCAAATTTTACGAGTGCCATATCCAAAGTTTCCTGCAGACTCGCGTATTCTTTTAAAAACACCAAATTCGTGCCCCTATGAAATAATTAATATGCCCCCCGGTTTCTACTGTCACATCGGTATAGAGAATACAATTCGTAGACTCATCAATGACAGTATTAATATGCACAATTTCTTATTTCAAAATTCAGAACCAGTGTTACCCATTAGTATAAACATAGACGGATTACCTATTTCAAACAGTTCAAAAAGTCAATTTTGGCCAATTTTGATTTCTCTAGATGTAGATTCAGTTAGTCAAAATGCGTCAAAACCTTTTGTAGCTGGAATTTACCACGGGCACACAAAACCAGCTGATGTTAATCAATTTTTAAGTGAATTTATTACAGAATTTAAACATTTGCAAGATAATGGATTTAACATATGCAATAAAACTGTTAAAATAAAGGCCAGTAAATTACTTTGCGATGCTCCTGCTAAATCATTCGTTTTATGTACGAAAGGTCACACGGGATTTTACAGTTGCACAAAATGTACTCAAAGTGGTACCTTTATTAATAACCGACTAGCTTTCCCAGATATCAATGTAGACTTACGAACTGATGCAAGTTTTAAAAACAAATTAGATGATGAATTTCATAAAGGTACAACTCCTCTTGAAAATATTAACATCGGGTTAGTTTCGCAAATACCCCTTGATGGTATGCATCTGGTATTTCTCGGTGTAATGAAAAAACTGATAACGTTTTGGGTACGAGGACCAAAAAACATTCGCTTCACTGACGATGAGAAAAAAGCCATTAACGATCAAATATTATTTTTAAAGAATTATGTACCTAAAGATTTTGGCCGCTTACCAAGAAGCTTAGATGACATAGAGTACTTTAAAGCTGCTGAACTAAGACAATTGTTGTTGTACATTGGACCGATCGTTTTACAAAATATGAGAAACAAGAACATGTATACACATTTTATGACATTATCATGCGCTATTCGCATTTTATGTAGTCCTGCATTATATTCAGTTTATAATGATTATGCTTTGCAACTTATTCAGTATTTTGTTCAAAAATATTCAGTTCTTTATGGTCCTGAGTTCATCAATCACAACGTACACGGCCTCATTCATTTACCTGCAGACTGCTTGTTGCACGGTCCACTTGATACATTTAGTTGTTTCAAATATGAAAATTTTCTGTACGAAATAAAACGAAAAATTAAAACAACAAAACACCCCTTACAACAAATTTGTAACAGACTAAAGGAAGAAGAGCAGAAAAAGAAACAGGACGACAAGACTTATCCGATTTTACATCAACAAAGTAAAGTGCAAATTATTGATAAGGAAAGATGTATATTCTACAAAAAAGTGGATATTGGAAAGTATGAATTCAGCACAGAAAATAAAGAAAATTGCGTCATGCTTAGAGACAAGGCTGTACTATGCGTAGACGGTATTTTCCAAAACACTAACACACTGGAAATGTTCATAACGGGAAGAAAGTTTACAGAATCAACAACGTTTTTTAAGTCACCCTGTTCTTCTGAACTATTTAATGTAGAACAGGTGCAAAATATTTCTGAAGATACGTATACTGTTAATATTGACGAAATTCAAGCAAAATGTGTAAAATTTCCGCACGAAAATAAGTTTATAATTATGCCATTAATTCATACACAATAATAACAAATATTTAATAGTAGTAATATTTAATAACAGTAATTAATAATAATATTTAATAATTAATTAATAATTACACAAAGAATCTCTGCCATTTAATTTTAATTAATATATAATACATCAATATAAAACCAGTAAATAAATTATACTTTGAATTTAAATATAAATTTTAATATAAAATTGAGTTAATATAATTATATGGTATACAATAAGAAGGTATTTTCACATTTTGCATTTACTTATTCTGATATTTTTATTTATTTTTATTACAAATAAAATTTGTGTTATTTCAGTTTATTTGGTCTGTAGTCGAATTTGCGGAGTATTTCGAAGAATCGACTGCAGTAGAAGTCGTCCCGACAACATGGGTAACAATTTTAAACAACGAAATTACATGCAAATGGCCTGGGAAAAACATCCGCAGGGCAATCAACAAACGAACAGCCCCATTAAGTTCTTGGGAAACTTGGAATATAAGAAACATCTTTTTCCAAACTGGTAATCTTTATTGTAATTAATATTACTATTTTTATTTCAAAATACTTGTAAATATATGTAACGATATGTATATACATATATATATATATATATACAGGGTCTACCAAAAGTGTGGAAACCCCTAAATATCTCGGAAAATATACGTTTTACAGAAAAGTGTTTCCAACAAAAGTTGTAGGGTTTAAGAAGATCTATATACTGATTCTATCAGTTTGACCTTGGATGGCGTCGTCAAGGTCAGGTCAAGGTCACATTGACTTTTTTAAATGACACCCCCTACATTTGATTGCATATTCTTATAGCTTAATTCAAGAGCTTTCCAAAACACTATAATAATGTTCATTTTTATTAAGTACTTTGCGAGTTATGAGGGTTGAAATAATTTCTTAATTTTACATAAACCATAAAATATCTAGTAAACCATTCATTTTTCGATTATCTTACCTTCATACTTTTATGTACAAAATAATGAAAGGAATCAATTGGTGTAAAGAAAACATACAGTTGTTTTTAAGAAAAAATATGGAATTGTTAATTGCAAATTACATATTTTTTCTTAGAAACAACTATGTGTTTTCTTTACACCAATTGATTCCTCTCATTAATTTGTACATAAAAGTATGAAGGTAAGATAATCGAAAAATGAATGGTTTACTAGATATTTTATGGTTTATGTAAAATTAAGAAATTATTTCAACCCTCATAACTCGCAAAGTACTTAATAAAAATGAACATTATTATAGTGTTTTGGAAAGCTCTTGAATTAAGCTATAAGAATATGCAATCAAATGTAGGGGGTGTCATTTAAAAAAGTCAATGTGACCTTGACCTGACCTTGACGACGCCATCCAAGGTCAAACTGATAGAATCAGTATATAGATCTTCTTAAACCCTACAACTTTTGTTGGAAACACTTTTCTGTAAAACGTATATTTTCCGAGATATTTAGGGGTTTCCACACTTTTGGTAGACCCTGTATATATATATATATGAATAATTTTGATTGACAGATGAATATCAGACTGCCGTAGATTTCGCAAAAAGAAAAACAAAAACTGATACAGATACGTCAGTGCCAGAAACTGGCCGAAGCAAAAGGAGAGTAAAAAAGAAGAGCCAAAATGATTACACAAGCGACTTCAGCGATAATTCCCAAAATCATAGAATGACACCACCTCCGATGCTGTCTACCGTATTTGGTACGTTAGTAGTGCATTATTAATAGAACTAAATTAAGCAGTGCATTACGTTACCAATAGAACTGAATTCAGGAATTTAATTTTAATTTGTAAAGGGATACGAGTGGATATAATTTGACCACGTTCGAAATGGCCACGGGTAAATTTGACCACGTTCGAAATGGCCACGTTCGAAACGGCCACGTTCGGAATGGCCACGGAATGTTGGAAGCACTATCCCCTTACACACGCACTCACACACACACACACACACACACACACACACACACACACACACACACACACACACATACGGGGGGGTGCAAGGGGGGCCTTCGGCACCCCTCCCGCACCCACCCCGTCCCCCTCGCTTCGCGTGAAAAGTTGTATGGCCGTTTCGAACGCGTGGCCGTTTCGAACGTGGCCATTTCGAACGTGGTCAAATTTACCCGTGGCCATTTCGGACGCTCCCAAGGGATACAGTCAGGATTTTTCATATTTTTTATTTGCACATTTTATTATATAGACACACTTTACCATGCCATAATACAGGGTGGTTCATTTTAATCTAGCCAGGCGAATATTTTCAACGCTGTTGAGTTTAGAGAAAAATGTTTCAGACAAAAGTTATAGGGTTCGAAGGGGGACATAAGATGGTACCATTGGTTTGACTTTGAAAAGTTATTTGAAGATCACATGAAGGTCACTTTCAATTTCTTAAATGGAACCTACATTTTCTCATTACATATTCTTGTAGCTTATCTCGAGAGCTTTCCAAAACACTATAATAAAAAATTTTTTTATTGAGTACTTTTCGAGTTATGAGGCTTGAAATCATTTCTTAATTTTACATAAACCATAAAATATCTAGTAAAATATTCATTTTTTTATTATCTTACCTTAATGCTTTTATGTAGAAATTAATGAGAGGAATCAATTAGTGTAAAGAAAACATACAGTTGTTTTTAAGAAAAAATATGTAATTTGCAATTAACAATTACATATTTTTTCTTAAAAACAACTGTATGTTTTCTTTGCACCAATTGATTTCTCTCATTATTTTCTACATGAAAGCATTAAGGTAAGATAATCAGAAAATGAATATTTTACTAGATATTTTATGGTTTGTGTAAAATTAAGAAATGATTTTAAGCCTCATAACTCGAAAAGTACTCAATAAAAAAATATTTTATTATAGTGTTTTGGAAAGCTCTCGAGATAAGCTACAAGAATATGTAATAAGAAAATGTAGATTCCGTTTAAGAAATTGAAAGTGACCTTCATGTGATCTTCAAATAACTCTTCAAAGTCAAACCAATAGTATCATCTTATGTGCCCCTTCGAACCCTACAACTTTTGTTTGAAACATTTTTCTCTAAACTCAACAGCGTTGGAAATATTCGCCTGGCTAGATTAAAATGAAACACCCTGTATATAGTCACAAACAATTTTGAATTTTTAAACCACTGAAAACATTTAGAAAAATGAAAATATGCCGTTTATAACCACGAATATCGATTCCGGCTAACTATGCACAATTTTATACATTTTCACTTCACAATTTTTTCCAACACTTCTGGCTATGTAATGATGCAAACATAAGCCATTACAAATTTGTAGACACTTTAAAGTACTTAAAAAATAAAAGTATTTAACAAAAATTAAAAAAATCGACATTATCTAAACACCTGTAACTTAATTTTAGAAATTTGATCTTTAAAATTGTTCGCGAATCACGAGTTTCAATCATTCCATTTTGATCTGCATAAGCAGAGATGATTGAGCGAAAAGTAATAAGAATTAATACACACTGTTATTTCTTGTAACATATTACGGTTTTAAAAATAGTAAGTTAAATTTTTTAAATATATAAATAAGAAAGTAAAAATGTATAATATAAATTCCTATATGAAATAAAAATAATATAAATATTATATTTTTTGTAATCAAGTAATTCTAATTTTGTTAAGTGTTGGTTAAAAATACATTTACGTAATACATAAATAGCCTCTATTCAGTCTTACAAGTGAATACAGAAGTGAATATTTTTGCAACGATTAGATGAGTCTTTTTGCTAAATATTTATCTTTCAGATCCTGCAATCGAACGTAGACAATCAAGTGAAGTTCTACAGACTACAAGAAATCTGCCAGCAGATATTGACAACATTTTTCCAACCGTCAATAAAAAAATAAATAGTAATATAGGTGATATAGGTTAGTATTTTTTTAATGTTTATAAATAGAAATGTTAATGTTTTGTCCTGAGTACTTATTAATTTCATATTTATTTAGACTCAAACAATAACGATAATAAAGAAAATCAGATAGATCAAACGGATGATATAGGGGTTATGAATCGTAACAATAATATAAACAATACTGTAGATCTTGAAACCTACCCAACGGAGGGTATGTAAACGTATATATATGTATATTTAACATTCACATACACGTATTTATTGGTCGTAGTATATCTACGATAAATAACAAATACTATTTTAATATATCAAGATTTACTTTCCGAAGTTATATTTTTATAACATAAAATATTTTAATTCAACAGATTTAGGTCCGCAAAATATTGCTGGAAACGCATCTCCAATTCCGATAAGAAATAACTTATTCGCAGGAAACGTAATCTTTGAAGATTTTCCATCAGGTATCAATATATATATTTATTGTTATTTTATTACTTAAACAACTACACAATACAACAGCAACAATAATAACAATAAGGTATGTAATAATATTTAATTGTAATTTTACAGATAGCCAGAATATAATTAAGATTTTAGAGAACACGATAGAGATTAAAAACCTATTAAGACAACAAAATGAATTTGTTGAGCAATTAAAACAAAAAAACGACGAATCAGTAATATTTGCAGCAGCAGGTGCAAGATATAATAATTTTTCGACTATCCCTACAAAACCATTTAAAAAGCACCGAAAATTGCTGCAGTATGACACTTCATTGAAGAATGATGAAGATGGAAAAAAACAACTGGTAATAGTATATACACTACCCGTCAATGATTCGCCCCCCTAGGAAATAGAGACGGCGCTATAGATTTTTTATAGTTTATCTATAGCGTCGTCTTTATTTCCTAGCAGGAATGGGAACGAATCATTGACGGATAGTGTACATTCCCCACTTACTTATTTATACAATTAAAATATAATTGCATCGTATATTCAATTAGACATGTAAATTAAAAAAGATTGAAAAAATGTAAATAGCTTGTATGATGTCGATACTCAGAGAATTGTGCGGCCGAAAATACTTTTAACATAATTGAATATTTTAACTTAATTTTACTGTACATATATACTGATATATGTACAGTAAAATTATTTACAATTTTCTATTACATATTAATCTCTCGAAAGTATGTATATTGAAATATGTAATGTTTCGACATTATTCATATATGAAAAATGTAATATGTCGTTATAATTGTAATAATTATATGCTTCAGGAAACATTTTTCTATTTGCTTGGAGGAGACTCACCTCAGGATCAAATAAAACATAGCTTGGAAAAAATGTTTTCCAATAAATTGGCTATGAAATGTTCATGGAAAGGCCAGAAAGGAAACTTTGCCATAAATTCACTTCTGCTAATAGATATCATAAAAAGTAAGACTTTCTGCATTGACCTAACTTGAAACAAAATTATACAAATCAATTTATTAAACTTTAATTTTTTCTTGCGTTTTATAGAGGCTGCTCGAAAGCATTATCCGATGTTAACGGATAGACAATTTTTAAATCATGTTTCCGCCTGGTTTAAATATGCCAAAACACGTCATGATAGAGAGCAGGTACTTTTTTCATTCTACTTAAATGAATTACTATTTTTATACAGCTGAATTGATTTTGTGTCTTTTTTCTTGTCTTAGGCAAAAGCACTTAGAAATCAGATCGGATAATTCAGTTTTAAAGAAATGTACATGAACTCATATATGGCGTTCAGCCGATCCTGCAAATGCACTAATAGTGCAATATTAAAATAATAATATTTATGTTATAAATATTAGAAATATTTTAAAAATACATGTTATAAATATATAATATATCTTATATAATTGATGTTTTGTATTTTTTTAATTTTATCACAAAATATTGTTGTATGTATATGAAAATAAATGTAATTAATATGCGAATAATTTTTGTTTTTCACTGATCGTATTATTACGCATGTAACGAATGTATAAAGCCTAGTCTACAATGAGTCATTAATCGTTAATTTGCAAATGCCATCTCTTATGCACTCGAGTGTCCTAAGTCGTAAGTCATAAGAGATGGCATTTGCAAATTAACGATTAATGACTCATTGTAGATTGTGCCTTATACATTCGTTACAAAAACGTTGCAAATTAACCATAAAGCGGAAAATAAATTCCTGGAACGTTGTATAAAAAACGTTGTATAAACATTGTTTTTGGAATGAAAGTTTGTAACGTTTCCCTAACGTTTCATGCAAGTTTTACAAACGGCGCAAAAAACGTTGTAAATGCGACGTCGCACATATAAGGTTTTTCAAACGCCTAAAACACGTTGCAAGTTCGACGTCGCATATGTAAGGTAATTGAATCGGGACATTTCTGGTTCCTGAAATGTTACCAAAAGGTTAATACAACCAAACGTAAAACGTCGCACGGCTATATTGCAATGTTACAAAAACGTTTTTGCAACAGAATATTGTTTAGCGGGTATATTTATATATTTGTATATCGGTGTTTTTCGTATGATAAATACTAAATTGTACCATATTCTTTCATACTCTTAAAATCTCACAACGCTCTGACATATGTGAAATTTTAAGTGTGAAAGAATACAGTATTATTTTTAATTATTCACAAACAGCATTTATCATACGAAAAACACCGATAACCGTATAAATGTAAGTCGTCAAGTGTAATTACATAAATATAATTAATATAAATATAATTTTTATATTGATGCATAGTTATTTCAACCAAAAATAGTGTATTCTCATATATACAGTCCAAGGAAATTATCAAGTTGATACTTCGGTTAAGAACAAAATATAAGATTTCTCTTCTCAAGCAGCACAGATAATACATACATATAATATGTATATAATCTGTCATTGGAATGTGAGTAATTATTTCAATAATCATTTAAAATATTTTTCTGTTTGATTTTATGGCACTTTATATTTTCAAAGTTGAACTTATTTACGAAAATTTACAAATAGGTTTAAATTATTAATTAAATACTATAATGCTATAATAATAAATTATATAATACTATAATACTATAATACTACAACTTCCTTTCGAACCACCCATTAAAATATAAAATTAATACGATTTATAATTTAGTAGACCACGCTATTTTATTATCCGACGACTGTTTTAAACAAGAAAACATTAAACTGGTATATGACACCTTAATTAATAATTGCTTTCCTAAACATATCATACATAAACATATTAGAAAGAGAATCAATTTTTTAAGTAATCGTGACCGTAATGACAAAGTTGATCTTTCTCATAGAGACAAGACTCCGATTATGGCAATACCATATGTAGACAATACGAGCCATGATCTGTACCGTCTCCTGCGAAATAATGGTTTTAATGTCGTTTACAAAATAACCAAAAAACTTAGTAATCTAATTAGACGTGGTAAAGATAGATTACATAACAACGACAAGACAAGCGTTGTATATAAATTAAATTGTAAAAATTGCAAACTATCATATATTGGTCAAACAAAGAGACATTTACGTACGCGAGTAAATGAACATCGTAATAATATGAAGCTACATGAGACCAATCACTCCGTAATTACCAAACATAGATTGGAAGCGGGACACGAATTTGATTGGTCGAACCCCGACATTTTACACAGCGAAACGTATGTTCGAAAAAGAGAGATTGCTGAGATGTTCTTTATTAAGAGATCAGACAATCTAATAAACTTACAGATAGACACAGACAATCTAAACAATATTTATAACAAAATTATAAAGGTCACTTAACTTGATTTATTCTTTTAACTATGTTTAGTTTTTTGACGAAGTCTCACACGGACACATCAGTTCTCTCAATTTCGAACTTTAATCAAATAACGTCTTTTGTCTAATTAATTTTTTAATTCTTAATTTCTCAAAATTGTAATTTGTGACTTGTGCTGGTTTAAGTGCCATGCCTGTTTTTTATCTTTCCATCGGTAATTATGCTCACTTTTCATTTTTGTTGTGCTTAGTATATATTAAAAAACCGTTAATTAATGTATTTAAATCCTTCCAGTGTACTTGATAAGGACCACAACCATATGGTCGAAACGTCGTAATTTTTAAATAAATTAATGGTTTCTTAGCTAGTTTGGTTGACTACAATTCTTTAATAATCCTTTGATTGTTCGACTAGCGAGAATAGAGCGTTTTTTCAATTTTTAAATACTATAATTTTACATAAATGTAAACTATGTACCTTTCTGATAAAAGTTATACTTAAAATGACAATAGACTCAAAAATTATTATTATTATAATATCACTATTATTATATTTTTTATATTGATATAAAAAAGATATACATAATTTAAGATTACTAAGAAATTATACTTTTAAAAATAATAAATCCAATGTTATTTACCGACGTATTGAAATGCTGTGGTTGTTTTAAAAATGATTCAACGTGCTTTTCCAAGTCATCCGTGGATGTAAGTGGCAACTCAAAACAGGAAAATATGGATTCCACTGGATTTAAATTTTCCGGTGGCTGGATTTCTCGAGGCATGTTACTTTTTAAATCTTTCAAGTCATCCGCCATTTGCCACAACTGTGTCTTAAAGTACGACTGCTGGCGAATGATTTCTTTGAAACACTGAAGAACTATTTTATGAACGAAAAGAAAAATTAAACTTTAAATACGTCATTCTAAATTTCAACGATTTCAGACCATTAATTATATCAATATTAAGACATGTAATTGAATTTAAAAAAATATTTACAGAGTGTTTACAGAGGAATGAAAAATTAGTACGTATTGATGAAAAGAATGTATATACGAACCACTTGTATTATTAATAAAATAACTAATGTCGCTAGTCAGATAATCACAAGGATCGTTGAAAAAAATTGTAGTCGAATCGAAAAAAAAAAAACGTCGTATTAATAAACAAATTTCTGGCTAGTTTGGTCGACTACAATTTTTTTCAACGATTTGTATTATTATTATGCGCAGGGCAAGTATAACATCCACAATCGTCGTCTGTTGTTTTAGCAATAATCTCGTCAAGGATAGAAAACGACTCGTTATTATTGGTAGATTCAGGAGCTAATTTTTCATGACGGTCGTTGTGTTTTTCATTTCCGTGGGACACGCTAATTTTTGATAATTTTGTCGACTTATTATTGTTAACATTGTCTAAATGCTTATCAGTTAAATTTTTTGTGAATTTAAATTATGTCTTGGGTATTTCAGAGACTGATTTTTCGTTACAGTCATTGCTTTTTTCATTTTCGCGGAATACTATTGTATTTAACGATCCTAAAATAATAATTATTAATAATAATTGTGAAATGATTGGAAATATATGGTGGGTTTTTTAAAGAAATAATAACTAAAGAAATAATTACTACAAAAAATCATTAATATTGAAACTCACGTTGCATAAGCGGAGGCGTTGGCAATTCGGTAAACTCATCCTCATCACTAATCGATTCTTCTGACGATGAATCATGCTGCTTAAGTTTTTTAAATTTTTTCTTTATGTCATCCCTCTTATTATTATTATCCGTATCGCTATTTAATTCTGACGTATATTCCGCCTTTTTTGCCTTCTCTCTGGCTTTAGAGTAGCTGTCTGAAAACATATAAATAAAAATATTTGTATAACTGAAAAGAAAAAGTACATAAACGAATGATATTAGTATAAAAGTTATATTAATTTAAAAGTATAGTATAAAAGTATATATATATAGTATAAAAGTTATATTAATTTAAATATTAATTAGTATTAACCATAATTGCCGTTTCGAAATGGGATCACGTCATACAAAGGCTAGCAATTATTGGGATTTTCATATTTACGAATTGCTGCCATCATTTTGTCTGATTGAAACGGTGGCCAATAACATTTATTGTTAATGATCCAAGTAGACGAGACCGCTTCGACAGTATCCTCCGATGTAAATCGATCAACCGATCATATCTTCTGCATTTCTGGACATGGAACAAATATTTAAACGCAGTTTTTGTTTTTACAGGATATACTTTTAAAATTTTTATGTACAATTAATTATAAAACCTATTAAAAATATGTTACATTTGCCGATGAGATTAAGAGATAAACAACATAATTATTCTGAATGTAGTAAGGGAAAAACTACGAACTTATTTTTAAATTTTAATTTCACACATTTATTCTTGACTTGTTCTAAATTCCAAGACTCTAAATTTCCAATATTTTCAACTAAATGTATGCCTAATTTTGATGATCTGCATGGTTTCACATAAAAATCTGAAAGCGTCTTATATTTAGTGCCAATTACTACAATGCCGTTATTGTTTGCAATAAAATTGCAAATAATAATAATGCTTCCATCTTTTAAACTACAACAATTATCTGGTGCATTTGTTTTTAAAATAAATTTGTTAAACACTGCTTTACTAAATTGATTACAATCATGGAAATTGGTGAATGAACCGTTAATTAAATGTGGATTTAAAAGTTCAGGTTCAACACGTTTCTATTATAGATTAGAATTTGCACAAAAATTCTTTTCTGTTATACGGCAAACAATTTGCTCTAATTCTTTATTATTTTTGCGAGTCATTTTCAGGATAGATTGCAAATAATTTTCCAATGGAAAGGCACTAAATTCTTGAAGCGTTCCCATTTTTTCCACGTCATCACAAAGATGTAACAAATGGTAGACGTTATGCGATGCATTTTCTTTGCCATACAAAGTAATAAACGTTTGGACAAAATAGTGCAACAAGGATTTGGCATAATCTAAACAACTTGATCAACATGATTTGAA